TTTGTTAACCATTGTTATAAGAATTATCTTAGTATTTTGAGTAAGATCAAATACAATGTATGTATTTGTTTAAGACCTCCAGGACAGGAAGCGAGTCTCTTATCTAGAAGAATTGTAGCACATTGCTGATGCAACACAAGCAGTAGTAGAAAAACTAAGATAAAAAGAACCAATTAGACTACAATCATGTAGCAGAAAGTATTAACAAGAACAGACCAAAAAAAATGCTGTAGTAAGTTGTGCTTTCCTCTTTACCTCAGGTAAGCAGTATCAAACATTTAAGTACCAACTAATGCTCCTACAACCCTAGAAAAAAGAATACTGAAACAAAAGCAAACAGACAAGGCTTTGCACACGTATAACTTCATACGTGCGCTAGCAACAACTCCAGTCAGTATCATTTGAAAAACAGTGACTTAGACTCAGCACAAAACATGACTCTGTAGGGGTGGCAAATTTTCAAGGATAAATCAAATTGTATTATTATTTCTGAAGCTAGGCACTAAACATGTCCATAAAAAACCTCAGCAGGGGAAAGAGATGCTGCCTCTGGCAGCCTGCTGTGTCTTAGAGTTTTCTTATAATTTGCAGTTTGTGCGTGTACGAAGATCAACGCTATGGTCCCTTGGCAAGTTCCAAATTTAGTTGGAGAGGGGAGGCAGGAGTCGTCACAAAATGCTCCAGGCTCTTAATGCATGCTATTCCAAATTCACTTGCATGCTCTCTGGCAATCACTTACTTGATTCGTGACCCTGATAAAGGTAACCTAACCAACTGCACAGCTGATTCGCAATAAACAGCAGACTTTAATGAAAGAATTCCAACAGCTTTAAGCCATATAATGCCACATTAGTATCGCTAACTGCAAGCTCTGAGATAATAAAGACACAGTAGGCAATACTACAAGTCTGATCAAGGTTACAAATCATATACCATTGTGTCATTTGAATTACATTACCAGAGAAGAAAAGCAGCCTATATAGTAAGTATCACTGCAGTGTGTAGTGTTTTTGATCTGGCTGTGTTGGTTAGGATAAGAAACACTTTCACTGAACTTCAACATAAATCCCCGTTCTAAGTTACACTGGTAGAACAAAAGCTCTTACACCCCTCACCCCTGGCCTTTCCCCCCCCCCCCTTTTTATAGAAGCTGACTAGCTTTTTTCATTTAAAAATATTGATCTAGTTTCTTGCAGCCAGGCTATATCTGGTCTAGGATATTGTCAATGTGGCTTCACTGGTAATAAACAAGTGGGGACAAAACTAAAACCTGGTATCTATAAAAAAAAAATAAAAAGAATATGTTAACTTTGTTATAAAAAAATCTTTGTAGAGATTTACAGTCAGCACTACAGACTTATTCTAATATATATTAGCTATACGTTTCTAAGCAGTAGGTCAGCAAATGAAGACAGAGAATGAAAATAACTTCATAAATCACTTAACTAAAGCTCTGAAGAGACAGTTAGTACGAAAGATTACATCTGAGGTAATCTTACATTATATATAGAAAGTTTTATTACTAATATGCTACCCACTTAACATAAGAAGTCAGAACAGACAAGTGGCCATGAAAATACTGGTAAAAAACCATGCCAAAAAAAGTTAAAAAAACCCTGAAACATCCCAAACAGAAAATGTATTGCCAGAATAAACAACAATTATAGTAGAATACAGTAACCAAACTTAAGCCACTGCAAAATAACACAGACACTATCCATACAACTTGCAAAAGGAAAACAGATTAACTGACCCTGCAGGACTTTTGATTCTGCAATGACTTGCAGACAGGCTTGATTTTAAACATTCTGAGCAGAAGTCAGAAGTGACACCAACCAATACAAGCAGGATTAAACCCACTGCAGCAGCATGCGAGGAATGGAATTAAACAAACACTTAAGAGACTAGGTGCCAAAGGTATCAGTCTTTTATTTTAAAACAATTAATAGCTTTAGAAGAAAAAGAAGTAGTAGTACTGGATTTACAGAACTTTAGCTTCAATGTGTGGTTTGCCAGCTTCAACAATAAATTGTATCTCTGAAGCTGACTAGAACAAGCTATCGCTGAAAAATCTCTGACTAGTTTGATACAGACTAGTTTTATCAAGACTAATAGAAAACCTAGTTATCAACTTCAACTGCTTTAAATAAAGAGCAAGTATTTACAATGAAGAGTTTGATTCTACAACAAAGCTATTAGTGGGTGTTACATCTTGCTTAGGACAAGAATGAGAATTCACTCAGTCACTCAAATTATGCTAAAATGTAACACTTTTTATATATGCTTACATACATGTTTACTTACACAAGAGTCCTCAACATATACAAAACTAACAGGACTTTCTAAACTTAATGCAATGCTGCTGAAAAAACCATATAAACAAGCATAAAATCATATTCTGTTGGCTCTTTACAGCATGGTGATACATTGCTGCTTTATCAGCTTCACTTTGTGAAGTATTTTAAGTAATTACTACCCACTTTGCAGAAAGAAATTCTTATGATTCAATAGTAAAGACTGCATTAACAATGAAAAAAAGGGAAGCACTGTAGCATAATCTCACTGCATTCTCAAGAATAAATGCTAGGCCTGGTTGATGAGATAGAAGTATAAACATTTCCACTACATATTCCTTTATTACCATAACAATAATGAAAACAATGCTGCTTAATTTCAAATACTTGCCTTAATCTATAACAGTTCATATAACTATGCTGCAAACATTTCCACTACATGACTACATACTGCAACAGGTACAAACAGTTCATAATTGTTTGCAAGCACAATCTCAAGCAAGGCTGGTTAAGATCAATTATAGTGAAAAAGAATAATAACAGGAAGTAAAATTATCCACTGTTAGAATGCGACAAGTATCTCGACATAACAGGATTGCACAAGTTCTGAAGCAAAAAAGGATTGCTCCAAAACAAACTAAAGGTGACATACTTGTTTCAACACTCTCTTGGCTTTTGAGTGTTTCCTTCTTCTGTCAATAAGAAGCCACAAGTGGCATCTAAACTGCTTAAAAGAAATGCAGCATGTTACTTTGGCTCTATCACTGTGTTCCTCATTGCTTTTACAATCCAGTTCAACTTCCAATTTACAGGCTTTAGTGTCATGTTCTGCATGGCCACTTTTTAGGTAGTTTTAAAAAGCTCAATACATTAACTGCAGCAACATGGAGCACAGGACATATGGAAAACTTCTGCCTGTAACTACAATAGCATCTCCAGCAGTCTTTTTATTGGAAACTGAAAAGTTTAAATTGAATAAAATATTTAACATTTGCACAGTCTGTCAATTTACTATCTCCAAAAATTAATCGATTCAATAAACTGTAGGCTTTCGGAGTCCTCCCAGAGAATTAAAAAGGGTGCTTGTAGAACTGTCCATGCATTACATGGAAGCTACTCCATGAGCATAACAGCACTAGAACTAGATTGCTTCACTCAACACCCTTTAAAACTAATTACACTCTGCATTTAGCACTTTTTCTATAGACCTATGTACACAGCTACTTACACAAGAGTCCCATACCTACACGAAATTGGTCTCAACGACAGGACTTTTTAAACGTAATGCAACATCACATAAATAAATATAAAATCATATTCTGTTGGCTCTTTACAGAAAGGAGATATGTTTCCAGAAGGATTGCTAGTGGACTAACGGATGCCTTCCTCACTGGGAGCTATATACAGAAAACCAAAGTTTTAACATGCGCTGTCCAAGGAATCAGGACTAATAGTTAACCTATTTAGACACATGCTTATATAGAGAAATTGGAGTTTCCTAAGAAGGAGCAACTTAGAAATTCTCCCCAATTAAGACTGCAATTAAAAAAAAAAAAATAATCATTCCTTGTCACCATAAATTAGGTGACTATTTACCTGCCTGCAGTTTAGCCTGCTTGGTATCTGTTAAAAGACAGGATATCGAAGCATACCAACTGTTGAATACTTCCAAAATTTCCTACTAGAAGTAGAGAAATGGTACTACAAGTGTATGCTGACCTCCTCCTCCCATCCCACCTAAACCCCTCTGGCCTAAAAAGCATTTAGGTCTTCCAGTCTTGAAATAGCTAACCAGCTCTAACTGACAGTAACTTCTTCTCCAAAGAAGGGGAAAAAGTTCACTACCTCCACCAGAAGAATAAAGCTGGGAAGCATAACCGCATTTGGAACTTGCAAAGATTACTTTGTAAATAATGACGACCTGCCCCTGAAGATAACCTTCCGAGTGTGCGCTGATGCTCCAAGACAAACTGCATTTTAACACGCACTGCGTGCATTTTGAAGGAAAATCATCCTGTTACGTGCGATGCATTTCAGACAAAAGTATGAGGTATAAAAGCACTATTTCCGATGAATGATTTTTTTTTTTGAGGGGAAAAAAAGGTGCATAACTGTCTTAACAGCACCTGAGGTGTGGCGCGGGCACCGTGGAAGGAGGAGAAGCTCTGGAAGTCACCGGCTGAAGGAGAGGCTCGGCACAGGCCCTGCGCTCGCCGCCCCTCACGGCTGCATCAGGTGGCAGGACCGGGGCTGTCAAGCGAACGGGGCGACCGCTCGGCGCTCCGGCACCCCCCTGCTTTCCTCCACCGAAGACACCGGCACAAAGCTCCCCTCGACGAGGCGACAGCATTACTTTAAGCGACACGGCGCAGATCCCGGCCGCTGCCATGGGACGCGCAGTACCTGCCGGGCGACCTGAGCGACGACCCACCTCACAGCGCTGAGGCGGACGAGCTCCCACCG